ACTCAATCAGCTATACAAACCAAAAAGAAAAAGAAATTCAATTTTTACATGCTCCAAGCAATAAAGTTAAAAAGGCGAGAGAATTAAAAAAAAGCACTTTTCTAGTAGTTACTTATTTCGTTTTGCTTGCGCCTCGTTCTTACAACAGGGCTGCATTTACAGTATGGTGGGTTACAAAAATTTTAAATGCTACAATTAAATAAGTATGTTGAATATGTTTAACACGAACATTCCCGGGCCCAAGGACGACAGTACTTCACTAAGCCGAAAGATTAGAGTCGTTGTTGGCAGAGCCGTTGGAGGTTATTGGTTTATCGCCAGGTTGAATGGCTGTGCCTCGACTCACAGCCGTATCGCTGCTGCCTTCAACAATCCTATCTTCCGTTAACTGCCAAGGGTCCAAATTAGGTAGAAAACAAATTTTACGTATTGCCCGCTTGAAAAATTTTCCTTTGCATTTCAAAGTGACTACGCGGGTTAGTCCATCAGGGCCTGGATGTATCTGAGCTATGCGCGCTAGAGGCCACTTGCCGGGTGGACATCTGTCGTCATACAGCAAAACTAGGTCACCGATTTTGGCATTGGTACGAGTTGTGGTCCATTTCGGACGACGTTGAAGTCGGCTGAGGTACTCCGAAAACCAGCGACGCCAAAAGTGTTGTTTTAAGCGTTCAACCATACGCCACCGACTTAGTCCAGTAGTAGCGAAATCAAGTAGCTTCTCATCTGGAATATTAAGAGTTGCTTCTCCAATTAAAAAATGTCCTGGAGTAAGTGCGTCGCAGTTTTCCTAATCTTCATTGAGCGGACAAAGGGGGGCGCGAATTAAGGCAGGCTTCTATTTCATATAAAAGTGTGGTCAACTCTTCGAAATTCAACACACGGTCTTGAACAACACGCCTAAGGTGAAACTTAGTGGATTTTACCCCAGCTTCCCATAAGCCACCGAAGTGTGGGGAAGCTGGCGGAACAAAATTCCAAGTTGTGCCTTCGCTAGCAAGGAATTCTCTGAGCTCCTCCGGTATTGATACTGTGTTACGGTGGTGCATGGTTTGCAGAAAGCTGCTCGCGCCAACGAAGTTTGTTCCACAATCGGAATATAGTTGCGTACATTTTCCTCTACGGTAAACGAAACGCCGATAGGCTGCGATGAAGGCCTCAGTGGATAAACTTGATACGGGCTCCAAGTGGATTGCTTTGGTCACCATGCACAGGAATACGCAAATATAACCTTTTGAAATTTTAGCATTTCGGAGAGCCGACTGGCGGACGTCAATTGGACCAGCGCAGTCGACCCCGCTATGCAAGAATGGTCGCGCCGGAGTCAGTCGAACAGCTGGAAGTTGTCCCATAAGTTGTTCTGCCACTCTCGCTGTATATTTAAAGCATACCAAACAACGTTTCAATACAGTTTCCGCAATTCTGCGCGCATTTGGTATCCAATAATTTCGCCTAATGAAAGTAATCATTAATTGTATGCCACCATGTAGCGTTCTTGTATGTGCATCTGTAAATAAAAGTAGAGTTAGAGGATTTTTCTTAGATAATAAAATAGGATGTTTCATATTTGCGGGTATATCAGCAAGTTGTAGTCTTCCTCCTACGCGTAGAAATCCTTCGCCACAAATGAATGGGTTCAGCTTCTTGATCGGATTGCTCTTATGTAGCTCTCCTGCGTGTAACAATTGCTTTATTTCGTCATGATATTCGTAGCGTTGAGACAAATATAGCAAACGATTGAACGCTGTTTTTAACTCTGCGGCTGTTAGGCTTCCAAAGCGCCGCGGTTGAGTAGTTGCATTGTAACAAAAACGAAAAATATATGCTGTCACAGAAATTGTTTTACCTAAAGTCGAAAATTTGTACAAAATTTGCGGATAGCTTGCCGAGGTTATATGTAAGAGGTTGACCACATTTCGTTTTTCAAGAGTAGTGTCCTTTCTATAATCAATATCATTTGGCCATGCACTCTCGTTTTGAAGGAGCCACGCTGGGCCGTGCCACCAGAGATGATGAAATGATAGATTGTCCGGTAGAACGCCTTTCGTTGTACAATCTGCTGGGTTGTCTAGTGTAGGAACATATCGCCACTGGCTGACGTTTGTAAGACGCTGAATCTCGGCTACGCGATTTGCTACAAACACGGTCCAACGAATAGGCTCAGCTCTAATCCACGCTAGTACCGTCGTACTATCACTCCATAAGACAATATCTTCAACAGACCCTTGCAAGGAACTCACTACTTTATCTATCAGTTTGGCAAGCAAATGAGATGCGCAGAGTTCTAACTTAGGTATTGTGAGTAATTTGACCGGAGCCACCCTTGTTTTACTCTGTAGCAGCTGCACAACTACTTCTCCATTTTCCATAGTTGTTCTCGAGTAAACCACGGCTGCATACGCAGCTTGCGATGCATCGCAAAAGCCATGTAAACAGCAACGCTTTGATTTTGATGTACCTATAAACCTACTAATTTTAATATTTTCTAAACAATGAAGCGCGTTGCGATATTCAAGCCATTCGCGTCGTATGCAACTGGGTAATTCATCATCCCAACTAATACCAAGACGCCATAACTTTTGAAACATAATTTTAGCTATTATGGTTGTCGGTGCTAACCATCCAAGAGGGTCAAATAATTTTGACGCGTCAGAGAGTAAACTTCGTTTTGTAGGCTTATCAGACATCGGGAAGGAAACAACGAATGAAAAGCAGTCGCTCACTGGATGCCATTGTAATCCTAAAGCTTTAATAAAGTCTTCGTCATTAATTGATACTGCACTGGAAAATTCCCTCATTTCTTCAGGAATCGAACGAAGTAGGTCAGCGCAATTTGAAGACCATTTCCTCAAACTAAATCCCCCAGCCTTTAGTGGAGCGCACAACTCTTGTTGCAGATGCAATGCCTCGGATGGACTATCAGCCCCTGTTATAACGTCATCAACATATATATCACGTAAAAGCACTTCTGAGGCCAGTGGGTAGGTGTCACACTCATCTCTAGCAAGCTGCTGTAGTGTCCTGATAGAGAGAAAGGGCGCGGAAGTGGTGCCATAGGTCACAGTTTTTAGTTTATAAATTTTTATAGGATCCTTTGTAGATTCTCTCCAGAGGATATTTTGAAAACGTTGATGAGCAGGGTGTACAACAATTTGTCTGAACATTTTCTCTATGTCAGAACACATAGCTACTTTATGCATGCGCCAACGAAGTATTATTTGGTATAAATCGCAATGTAATGCCGGTCCTGCCACCAGTTCCTCGTTAAGTGAGCAATTATTTTGGTACTTGCTAGAACCGTCAAATACAACGCGCAACTTTGTGGTTGTACTACTAGGCTTTTCTACGCCATGGTGTGGCAAACAGTATGATAGTGGTGTAAAATTTTTGGGGTATTCTCCAACCAACTCCATATGGCCTAACTCTTCATATTCTCTCATAAATTTTGAGTAAGCAATATGTAGGTTTGGCTTTCTGGCAAACACCTGTTCCATATTTTTTAATCTACTTAGAGCACCTAAGTGAGTGTTGTGAAATTTTGGTAATGGTTTCCCCTGAAGCTCGGACCGAAAGGAAGCGATACAATATACCGACCCGTGTTATCCCTTAAGTGTGTAGAAATGAAGTGTTGTTCAGTGGCCATATCTTCAGCAGAGTGCGGTCTTGTCTTTGACAATTCCTCCTGCTCCCAAAAGCGCTTAAGCTGATCATCGATATGGCAAAGATGCGTATGAATTGTTTTGAGGTCAACGGATGTTGATATAGGCCCAGAGATAACCCATCCAAAATGAGTATCTTGGTAAATAAGTCCACAATCAGCTCTTATTTGAGCTTCTTTTATTAGATAACCATACACATCAGCACCCTAAGATGATATCTATGGAACGTGATCTGAAATATTCAGGATCCGCTAGAGTAATATCCACTGAATTAAACTGTGATGGGATAAAACTTCGTTGTGGCAGATATGAACGAAACTTGGGTAGGAAATATGCTTTCACATCTAGTGAATAATCGTTTTCTGCACGTGAATGCAGTTTAAGATTCGCTAATCTCTTAACAGAATTTTTCTGCTGCGTGTTTACCCCACACACTTGTAAGGATGTGGAACAACATGGAATTTTATATAATTGTATAAATTGCTCTGTCACGAATGAACCTTGAGAGCCCTGATCTAATAAAGCACGCGCGGTGTATCGACGTTTAAGATAATAGTTGCGAGTAGAACTTCACGTTTGCACTCCGGCAAAGAGAAAGGAGCGGCTACATGGAGTCCTTGTATCTCCTTAAAACGAGGTTGAGAAGCTAACTCAGCAGGTTGTGAGTCTGAAAAAACTTCATGTAGTAGAGTATGATGATTGTGATTACATACGTTGCACTTATGATGAGAAGTACAGTCGCCTGCCGAATGTCCAGGAGAGAGACAGTTGCGACATAACGAATTACGACCAACGAATTGTTTCCTTTCTGTAGGCGAATAAGCTCTAAATACCCAACATTTAAATAGACGATGCGGTTTCTTACAACATATGCAGGCGTTAGTTTTTTTCACACTTGCTTGAGTTTGTTATGTTGAAATTTCGAACAATTTGACGTTGGGGAATATTCGGCGATTTTGATTTTTGAGCATTGTCAACGTTGAGGGTTTCCAAGGTACGAAAACAGGTTTCTAAAAAACTAGTGAGCTGTCCCAATGTAGGAAGCTCCCTGGAGGCCTTTAATGACTGTTCCCAGTCCTTTCTCGTCTCAGGATCTAGCTTTTGAGTTGTCAGATGGACTATAAGGGGAACCCAATTAGTGGTAGAAACATTAAGGTTTGCTAACGAAGCAAGGCACTCCTTAGTGGTATCCAAAAGTGTTCGAACTGCTAAGTGCGAAGTTACATTGCACTTTGGTATCGCGAATAGCTTTTTTAACAATGTGTCAACTATCGCACGTTTATTATGGAACCTATCTTCTAATGTATTCCAAGCAAGATCATAGTTTGCTTCTGTTGCGAAAATGTGTTTGATAAGACGTGCAGCCTCTCCAGTGACGCAATGTTTCAGGTAATACATTTTCTGAATTTTACTAAGTGTATTGTTATTATGCACAAGAGAAGTATATAAATCCCGAAACGAAAACCATTCTAAGTAGTCATCTGAAAAGTTTGGAACTGAAATTTTCGGTAATTTGGCGTCACTGGAAATGTGTCGTTTCGATGTGAAGGAGCAGCTATTGTACTGTTGAATGCAACTGGGGAAGCAGTCGAACAGGTTGGCATGAAACCATACAGAAAGCCTTTGAAAATGAAATATAAATCTTCGAAGTTGTCAAAGGTCGCACATGTCATATATGGAAGGTCATCAAATTCCCCGCCATCATCCTTTATTAACGTAACTATTTGATCGTGGTTTTTTACTAAAAGAAGTATATAAATTATCTACTCTTTCACTCATAGCCCTTAT